AGCTTCCGATACAAGTAGTACAATCGACGCTGAACAAATAATAGAGTTGCTGGAATTCTGTCTATCAACACATTTCATCTTCAAGGGCCAAATCTACTAACAGATAAGAGGCACATCCATGGGATCGCCGATCTCTGGACTGGTAGGCGAAGCAGTAATGCAGGCCCCAGAACGGATAGCACTCCCAATTGCGAACCCGAAACTTTGGGTGCGCTGCATAGACGACACTTTCGTCATCCTCAAACGTTCCAAATTAGGGGAGACACATGGGCTAATCAGCAGTGTTCGACGGTATCCAATTCACGAGGGAAGAGGAGAACGATAGACAGCTACCACTTTTGGATGTTCTCTTACGTAGGACTGGTTCAGGGTCACTCGAAACGATGGTCTATGGAAAATCAACACACACGGACCAGATCCATAACTATAACAGCAATCATCCGGCAGTCCACAAACGCAGCTGCGTGCTAACACTGTTCAAACAGGCACGGACGCATCGTAACACGCAGCAGCTGAGGCAGGCGGATGAAAATCATCTCTCCAGCCTGTTCAAACGGAATTCGTATCCAAATGGCTTCATTCTGCGCTGCTTGACCCAAGTAAGGCAACAAAACACACCTCAACAAATGCAACGGCTGCAAAACCAGCCGTGTTGCCTTACGTCAACGGAATCTCTGAAATGACAGCGAGATTTCTGTTGTCCTTGGGAGTCAAAATTGCCCACCAACTAACAGAAATAATCCGAAATAAAATTTTCAAAGTGAAAGATAAACTTAGCTAGTGGGATACATCTGGTGTAAACTACAAGATCTATTGCCGAGACTGTGATAAATATCAAATAGAACAAACAGAAAGGAAGTTTGGCACACGGCTACATGAACATAGCCTAGCAATCCGCCGTCATGATCAGAATTCTTTGATGTCCGTGCATATTGATGCCGAAGGCCACCAGTTCGACCTAGAGAACACCGGTGCTCCATCGAAATGCAAAGTACTTCTCTAAGATTGGCAGGGACCCAACCCTGCGCTAACGCTTGGTGGTGATCTGCCAGAAGTCGTTCAGGAATTCAAGTACCTGGGCAGCTATATTAGCACCGGTGGGATTGGAGATGAGGTTACGAACCGCATAGCAAAAGTTCGAGGTGCTTTTGCCAATCTCCGCCACTTGTGGCGCAGACGCGACATTACTCTCGCCCTGAAGGGCAGAGTTTACAACGCAGCCGTCCGTTCAACTCTCCTATATGGTTATGAAACCTGGCCCATCAGGTCGGCAGACATGAAAAGGCTCGTCACATTCGATCATCGCTGCCTTCGCATCTTAGTTCATGTCTGGTGGGAACACCGCGTGAGCAATGAGCGTGTTCGACGTCGCGTATTTGATGCAGGAAGAGCGAGTGAACCGCTCAGCACCGTTATATCACGCACCAGCCTCCGATGGCTGAGCCACGTGTTGCGCATGCCAGCACACCGACTCCCGCGACGTGCATTGTTTGCGCGTTGTGGGTGCGGTTGGAAGAAGAGGAGGGGAGGCCAACTGATGACTTGGTAGAGAGAAATGAAAACCCTCACTTCGAAGTTGGCGTCGGTTGGTGCATCCCGACTGTCTGGCTGGGGTCCTAAGGACGGTGAACACGTTTGGTTGGATACACTTGCTGATATGGCTAGGAGACGGCACCAATGGCGTTTGTGTTGTGATTTCCTTTGTCCATCCCCCTCCTGTTTAGTATCCCCTCCAATCACGATTTACCTGTTAGGCATAATACGGTTCTCTTTTACGGCAGCCAGCTGTTAGCTCTCCGGAACGATGTCCATCCGTTACTGGGGACTCAGCAGGCGTGCCACTGTTTTCCCTTCTTTTCTCTTGTATTGCGGCACAATAGCTGTGTTTTCCACCTCCAGCTAACGTGTAATGATGATGATGATGATGAGAGAACACCGGAGTACTCGGAAGAGCCACAAGCTGGCAAGCACGTGAGTTTATTGCAACCTGGTATTCAAAGCATAACTCGATCAATAAGCACATAGATCTCGAGTTCGCTTACGAGGCTGTGGAAACTAATCATGCAGTTCGGTGAGCCGTGCAGTGCTCACAGAAACTTTGGAGGCTATGGCGCGCAACCGGTATCAGTGGAGACAGTGGTGTTCAACCGCTTTGTCTATTGATTAACATCTCATCGAACATAAAACTCCAATACACAAACAATCTCAAAACGGCGTGTGCAAAGCTGCAAAAAGTCGTTTTCTTGACATGTGTTTCGTTTCTTCCTTTGTTTGTTAGTTACTTCTGAAGACACATTATATGTAATCAGATTAAGAAGATATATATATATATATATATATATATATATATATATATATATACATGGTTGGCGGCATCCGGTTTCGGATTTGCCTGTCAGTGTGGGCAGCCACAGGACGCCTGCGCCTACAGAGGGAACGTGGGTGGTTTGAGCTGCAACACCCACAGCTCCAACCACACCCATATCCAGTGTAAACCCGAAGGAATAAGACATGTGGATGGGAGCCAGGTTTTATCAACGTAGCCGGCCCACACTCCTTCACAGGCAACCACTAGCCCGCTGTATTTGGGGAATCAAGCGCACACAAGCCGGTGGCTGCACCGTGATCCGCTCCACACTGAGTGCATGGAACCACTCTTCGAGCCTAGCACGACTACAAGGACCGTGCACTCCGTCCCCTACAGCAACAAACAACTTCCTCCTAGAGCCACTATGGAGGATGTAGTGGGTAATAGACAGATAGGCACCTTGTCAACATTCACATCAAGCGCATCCACACCGGGGAGCTGAAACATCTACTTCTGAAATGCAAGATTACTCAGCAGGCAAGCAAATGTACCATCTACGCCGCCTTATTGGCCTGGATTAGTAAATCGAATGGGAGCGCACGCATCATGCTTCTATTCCGCGTGCAGTAGCACCTTCTCCTGCACCTGACCAACCGCCCTTATGATCAGTGCCTTGGGTTCGCAACACCTGAAATCATCATGAGTTTGTCATAAACTCACCTTCTTCACGTTCGGGTAATGTTATTTCCGGTTTGCTCGAGATGTGTTTCCCTTCACTAAGTTAGTAGTACAAAAGCGGTATGAGTATCCTCGTGCAATTCATTCGGTATACATATATACATAGAATATCGTCATCCGTGTCCAATAGCAGTTCGAATACAACATATGCACATGCGTTTATCCAATGTTAAATGTGAGCTGTCACAAACTGGAGAGAGACACATTAGACATCATCATCAATGGTATGACAACCGTGTATGGGTTTCGTTTGGAGGTCAGGCCAACAACCACTTTCGCAGGCATGAGAATAACTACCCAATACGAACGGTTGAAGTTTTCTTCAACAGTTAGACTTGATAGCCTTACATCTTGGGCATCCATATTTGAAGGAATCCGATGTGGCAATAGTAAAGCAACTGCTAGGTAGAATGATGACTAAACTACTGGTACAGCGAAATAGTGTGCACTTAGGTGTTGACCTCTACATGTACAGTCTGGTTTGAGTAGCTGATGGGGGAGATCACACAGCATGCGACGCAGTGTCCATTTCTGGCTCTCTGTATCTCCGACCGGTTCGGTCATGTTCTGCCCGAGATATGTGCACCTACTCAAAGAACGATTGATGCGCACCCTTTAGTATTGACAGGTGACATCAACGAAGTCCCGTTGCCTACTGTCAAACATGCGACTTTCCAAACAGTGTTCGCATTTATTGTGCAAACGTCCAATTACTCAACCGTTTGTACCTACCGACCTGTACTCTACTGTGGCCATAAGCTATTTGCTAACGGTCTATATCGTACGTTTCGGGTGCAACCATTCGGTGCTCATAAAACCATTGTCGCTATGCGTCGATTCATTTCCGATGATATATATATATATATATCAGTGGATCTCATCTACCTGGAATGCAAGGAAATTGTGTCCATCACCCTCCTTAACTCTTTATTCCCACCAATAGAGACTGGAATTCGGATAGTTTCCTTGGCAACTCATTCCATGCTTACTTTTATTGTTTATCTTTATCCATGTCCTTTCTGATGTTTAGACGTCGCTTTCCTACCCAATCACTTGAGATCGAGGGAATGCGCACCACTGACGTGCCCCAATAGGGCAGAACGCGCCTGATGCTTTTCCGGGCTAGGCTGTGTTATGTAGCTTGTGAGCAGCTGAGATGAAAACATTACAATTAAAATTATCCTCCTACTTATTAGTTTAGATGTGTTCTTTGTCACAGTTAATGTTTTTCTATCTGTGTCCGTCTTTACTCGGCAGTGTAACAGCCCCATGGGCCACAAGGCGGCTGCCGCTATAGTAGTAGTCACCGGCCAGTATAAACTCGATCGAATAAGGCTGGACGACATGCGGATGGAAACCGTGGGAAACGTTGCAGAATCGTGTTCGAACGACAAGCTCAACATTCGTAATCCCACCTACCGATGAGACAGGTTGGTGCCTGAGCTACATCCAATTCCATTATGGATGCAACCACTGCTTCCGTTTCATCAGGAATAAGCAGTTGTCTCCTTCATTGGCCCATTGAGGTGCGAGTGTATCGGACCGGTAGACATTTTGTCGACATTCACCTTGAATACAACCAGTTTTTGTGTGCCATTCGCGGATGAGCACATCTCTCGTACCGTCGGTCACCACTACAAACTGACCAGATTCTTTTCAGGTAACCCCGTGCATGTTTACGCAACCGTACTGTGTTGCCTTAATTTTCGGCCACATTCGACCTGATTATCAAAACCCACCACTGTTTCTCCACAGCTGCATATTACCGAGCGTCAAACGTCGGAACGTCCCAATATAACTTTTCTACTTGGCTTCAGGCACCATCTACATGCACATCGTATCCATCTTGGTATGCCGTTGTTTCATTAGAATGCGCGCATCCGTAGTTTTGTTCACGTGCCTATTCCATTCCTTGACAAATGTTTCTATCCCCTTTCAATACTTCGCCCCACAGTCGGTATCCCCTGTCTCAAATGGTCCGGCACCGAGGGTGATTACAACGTTCTTGTGTTACAATTGCTGGGACCCAGCCTGGAGGATTTGTACAATTACTGTGGTCGACGATTCAAACTCAAAACCGTACTTCTCTTGGCCGATCAGCTGATCACTCGAGTGGAGTATATACACAGTAAGAGCTTCATCCATCGGTGAGTATGTGTGAGTGTGCATCCTCTTAGTCTTCAAATCACTCTACTAACACATGCCTAATCACCGTGACTGGACCATTGCTAAATTTGACTTAGGTTTTTGGTATTGTACCTCAGTCTAGAACACACAATACTACGATAAGGCCGATGTTACTGTATGGATCAGAGCCGTGATCACTTCGCGTTGAAGATTGGCACTCTCTGATCACCGATACTGGTTGAGAATAGCTCAATCTTGTTGGGAGCACCGAGTGAGCAATGCTGATGTACACCAGTTGGTTTTTTGCAAGTAATCTTCTGGTGCCTCACTCGACTTTTCCCTATAGCTTAATCGCTTACGTTGGCTAGATCATGCCGTCCGCCTTTTTCGGCATGCACCTAATGCTGATACTCCAACCAGCTGGGCGAAACTGCGCGGTGGACAGTCAGTGACCAGACATGAATAAGTTTGCTGAAGAATTTGGTCAGTCTGCTACTTGCCGTCTTCGTGGATAGGAGTTGTTCTTATTTGGGACAGTGCGGACGCAGTCGTTCTTTTGCATTCGGTTTCCCGCTTCTGGCTGCCAATAGTATTATCAAAGTTCTCTTACTCTTTTTCTCGTTAACCACCAGACGCTTGATTCCTACTTTTCTGACTTAACCAGCAACATGAGCCGTATTGTTAATCTTTACATGGAGCCAGGCTTTCCTGTCTAATCCCCTCCAATACCAGTACTACTACTGCAGCGTATGGAATCCTTATGATTTTAACAACACCTTCGGCACGCCGTCTGTCGTCTTGTACTGCTTTGCCGCCGCCATCGCCATTGATGAGGATGTTGACTAGTCGGATTTCGGTCTTCTCACCCCAGTTTCGCTTCCAGCTCATTTACTTGTGTCTTGTGTTTCTCTGGAGATGCTGTCTACACTGAAAAAACTAGCTTTGCTGTTCTGTACATATGATTGTTCATTTGATGTAGATAGGAATAACGCATCGCTGGCTTCATTAACCAAGATGAAACACTTGAAGAATTTGGAAACCTGGCGAACTCGTCTGGGTTCCAACAAGTACAACTTAGCATCTTTGGTTGTACTCGGTCGTTTCACCGGATTAGTTACACTATCGTGGCTCCCATTCTGATGCTGGTCAACACTGCCCTGTCCCACAGTTACGGAACCATAATGCACAAGTGTGTTCTTCGTGTTTCCACTTTCCTGGCCTTAAAATCACCCACTCACCAGATTTAACTGAACCACTGCTGGTGCAACTGTAACCTTACCGCTGCCTAACATACCTAGCTGATCCACACATCACTTTGACCCCATATCATGTGGGCTTCATACGGCCAAGTGACTTGGCAGTGTTTGATCTGCTAAGCCCTCCTCCATCCTTGCGGCACATTGTGAACGTACACGCGTATTCTGAACTCCCGTGGCCTATGTTCTGTTCACCGATCAGGTGATTCGGATGTCCTGGCACACCACTCCCGACTTCAGGTTACTCATCTCAATCCCCATCAAGAAAACTACCATCTTCCAGCCGCATTCGTGACCGTAGTTGCATGCTCGTCTGTCGTTTCGCCCTCCTGATTGGCCTAGTCTACCACGTAGTCGCTGTGGTATCCAGTCGCACAGACTGCTACCCACAGAGGTATTAGCCTATCGCCAGTTTGGAATAAAATTAATGACCTCGATTGTTCTTCGTCACCTCAATGTGGAGGGGGAATCCGGGATTAGGGAAGAGCAGACAGGTTTGCACCCAGGACGGGTCTGTATAAACCACGTATTCACTGCGGCAGGTCATCATCATCATCACTATACACGTTAGCTAGAGGTGGGGAACACCTCAGCTACTGTGCCGCAATACACAGAAAAAAGGAGAAAAATATGCAACTGGTGCAAGCCGGCTGAGCTACCGGTAACGGATGGGCATCGTTCCGGTAAACTACCAGCCGGCTACTGTGCATCAAAAAAATTACTATGCAAATTATATAAGGCTAAATATTGATGTCGTGGTTGGAGGGTGAGGCTAAGAGGAATGGGGTGGGACAAAGAAACTCACAGCACGAACGCCACTGAGGTCGGCTCCTAGCCATATCAGCAAGTGTGTCCAACCAAACTTGTTCATCGTCTTTCGGACCCCAACCAGGGAGCCGATGCCAGCTCAGAAGTGAACGCCTTCATTCGTCGGGACCAAGTCATCGCTTGGCCACCCCTCCTCTTCTTCCATCCACACCCCCGGCGCGCAAACAACGCACGTCGCGGGAGTCAGTGGGCTGGCATGCGGCAGGTGCTAGCGCAGTGCTACGCATACCGACAATAGATGTATTCCTCGACTTCAAGAGTGCGTTCGATTCAGTTTGTCAATGTATTCTGTTCGAAATACTTACACGAAAAGGCGTTTTCACGAAATATGTGAACATCCTTCGTGATCTATGCTCGAACACTACAGGCCGCGTCAGGGTCCTCAATGCCCTGTCGGATAGCTTTCCGACAACAAGTAGCGTTCGTCAGTGTTGTCTGATTTCCCCATTCTTATTAAATTTCGTCGTGGACTCCATCATGGAGTGTTCCCTCACGGAATCTCACGATGTAGGCCTCGAGGTCCTTCCTGGTGAAAGGCTAGTTGATCTTGATTACGCGGACAATATCGTCTTGCTTTTTGACGATGTTGAGACGGCACAATGTACCCTGAATAGCCTGTCTAGAGTGGTCCCATTATTTGGTATGCGCTTCCTACCTTCAAAGTGCAAAGTGTTGCTGCAAGACCACCAGCCACTTTTGACCCCTTGACCCTTGCTAACGAAGAACTCGAGGTAGTTGGTCAATTCACTTACCTAGGGAACTGTATCAGCAAAGATGGGCATATAGAAACTGAACTCAGTTCACGCATTGTAAAAGCCAGAACTGACTTCTTGAACCTGCATCTTTGGCGATAGAAGGGAGTTTCCCTCAGTCTGAAAGGCCGTGTTTACAGGGCCACAGTGAGGACCGTCCTGCTCTATGGAACTGAGACTTGGCCCCTTCGGTTTAATGTGCTGAGGCGACTTCAAGTCTTTGATCATCGCTGTCTGCGGAGCATTACTGGTGTCGGGTGGCACCAGCGTGTCCGCAAAGATGATGTGCGTACGCGGCTACTAGACAGTGATAACCAAGCTAGTTTCCTAGAACAACAGATTGCACTGAATAAGTTACGTTGGCTTGGGCACGTACTACATATTACTTTGAGTAGAAGGATTTTGGCGAATATTTTTGTTCGTCGCAGTCAGCCGAAAATTCAGCTAAGTCAACTGCCTATCCGGAAAAGCACCAGACGGCCGTTTCGCCCTACTGGGGCTCGTCAGTGGTGCGCATTCTTCGGTCCTCTACGGAGGACCGAACCCATGACTGCTAGTGGCTTGTGCCAACTATCCCGCAACTTATGCAACTGAGCCATGGAGGACGGCACCCGACCATCACGAATTGTTAGCTAACTGCGATATAGCCCGACCCATCCTCCACTGTCATGCAGATGACAGCGGTTGGCTTTCCGGCGCCAGGACTTCCCGATTACGGCAGCTATGAATCGACATAGGGCGAAACGGCCGTCAGCTGAATTTTCAGCTGACTGCGACGAACAAAAATACGTACTACATATGCCTAATCACCGTTTACCTACGATGGCCTTGTTTAGTCTGCTAGATATAGGGTGGCGCAAAGCTCGCGGTGGACCAAGGTTGGCTTGGCAGCATGAAATGAAGTAATTGACGACGAAACTGGGTGCCGTTGGTCCGTCTCGTCTTCCGCGCTAGAGTCCACGTGACTCATCTTGTGCTTGGCTCGAGACTTTACGGGACGTGACTCGCAACCGACACCAGTGGCGCGTCTGCTGCCGTCTCCTAATCGGATTGCCTGTTTAAAGTGGGTTTGGTACTGAGTTATCTGCAGGGATAATGGCTGATTATGACGCGTGGCAGTGAAATCCGCAAGGAAGCTGTCTCGTTTATGCCGACTTATCTTTGCACGATAGCCAGCTGCTTGTGATGGTATGTTGTTAACACAAGGTGTAGACGCTTTGATTCTAAACGTTTGCTTAGGGCATTAAGATTTTCCGGTAAGTCCTCCTCTCCCTATCTTGGAACATATTTGGAACCGATCGGGAAGACATCATTTCAGAAAACTTGGTAAACGACCGGTTAATGTATTTATGAGGATGTATCCTCATAAATACATTAACCGGTCCTCCTCTCCCTCTTATTATTCCATTGGTTGTTTGGCAGCGAAGCATCGGTTCAAATGGCTGATATACTGCTGCTGTTCATTGTCGATTGGTTGATTACTTGGCTGTGGCTATCAGTGGGTACCCTATCAACTTCATGGCCCCGACGAACTTACTTTGGATTAATTCACTAAACTCCTTTGCTCACCTCGGGTTTGTCAAACTTATTCCCATTGTCTTACACACATTGCTACTCACTCGTCTTCGCATTTGTCCTTGTATATCACTGGACATTTTACTAGGTCTCGTGATTGATGCTCTTATCCAGGGTGGTTTAAGCAATGAATAGATAAAATCTTGACATATTCATGCTAAATGTATGCGAGTTATGACTGGATGAACTTGCCCTGGACACCAAGGTGGATAACCAAGCAGAAGCAACTGGTAGGTGGCTTGTTTTAAAGAAATCGTACTATTGTTAGAACATTTTTACGGTTCGTTAAACATCATTATAAGCACTGTTCTCCTCAAAGTACTCCCTATCTTCGGGCACTATACCGTTCACAACAGTGCCTCCATTTTTGGAAATGTTCCTGTAACGCACTTTCTGGGATGGCGCGCAGGTCTCTTGTCGCATTATCCTGAATCTTCTCTGTGCTTCAGAAACGACGTCCTTTCAACGTGGTTTTAACTTTGGGCATCAGGAAATGTCTTCAGGTGCTAGATCCGGAGAATACAATGGATGTGGCACAACAGGAATGGGTATTTTTCTATATAGCTGCGGACAAGGAGCGATACGTGAACCGGCGTATTGTCATGATGT